TACTTAAAAATTAATCAACCAAAGTATTATATCATCTACACTATCATGCGTGAAAGAAATAATTAAATTATACAAAAAATATAGGGTTAAATTGGATTAATCCACTGCATGCAAATTATGTTTCTTTTAACACAGTTTTTTCGTTTTTCTACCAGATGAATAATAGAGTAATTTGTGTAATGACATAATAAAGTTTTTTAAACGAATAATTGTAGAATTATCGTGCTGGAAATATAATAAATCCTTGTCTCCAACTTAGAATGCATAGCGTGTTGATTGCACCGCTTTGTAACGTGTAAGCTGTGCACCGTGGTAATCGTGCGTATGTTGTAAGCTTGTATTATCACGAATGATGGATTATCAGTAATGCAATATGGAAGATAAGTTGTGCAACGCGGTAGAAATTTTATATCGAAATAATCTGACGTTGAGATTTAGCAAGCGGAACATGGATAGTAACATAATGCATTAATAATAATTGCTTTTGAATTGCTAATCTATTTTGTTACTGGTAATTATATTTTTTCATTTCTGACGATTTGAGATTACGATTTTATAAATCGTTTAATATCTCTCACGAAACACAAAATCTTTATAAATCGAATTGTTACTTTGTTATAAAATTATTTGCATTAACGGCCATTTTTAATAATATAATAGCTCACTTTAGTGTCTCTTGCTAATTCATTATGTTATAAATTCTTGAAATTGAACTTCAAATGTAAGATAAACTATTAAACAAAATTTGAGAAACTTTATATTTATTCACATTTCCTCTCTTTCGATCAAGTTGAATTCGCGAAATTCACATTTCCAGAGTAAGTATCTCCATTTGGTTCAAATTATAGACATTACAGAGAGCGCCACCGTACTTGCAAATGCCGATTTTTGACGATTTTCAATATGCAAGTAATTATAATTTGCACACTAATGTATTCAAATCTCTTCTGTTTTAACAAAAAAACCTTAACATTAATAATAGTAATAATAATAAATGATAAATCCTGAGTTATAAATGAAGTTCTTCATTTTCTAAAAATCAAACGATACGAAAGTATAAAATCGTTTGCCACACCAAAGAGAAGGAAGAGAAAATACCTTTACTTATATAGCTCCACCAGTAAGATAACGTTAATCTCTTTTCGCCACGATCTTGTCGATTAATCCGCCCAGGTTAAAAAAGCTAGATCGCGTGCTCGTAACGAAAACGAATTCTTCTTTGCTCTTTGAACAGATTACATTCGCGTGTTGGACTTTCGCGAGTTCTTTGTTTCTCTCATCCACGATCGAAAGTAACGTGGATGTAATCCACCGTGAGAGGACAATTCGTAATTGTGCGACTGGATTCGTTTACTTGTACCTGGCTTTTTTTTTTCCACTTCCATTTATTCGTTTCTCGTTACTCGTGAAATCGTGCAATAACGCAGTTGCGTAATTCGTAACACGCAAAGGTTCGCGCCTGTGCGCGGCAAATTAACGAGGAACAAGTTGCATTGCAACGAGGAGGAAATTAAGAAAAATTCATTGCTCTGTAATTATTGCCGCGAAGGAATTTATAACTGGAATTATTCGTGATAAGGTATCGTTCTCTTGTTCCTTTTGTAAAATAGTTTCCCCCTTTCGCGGTCTTGATTAAACTTTATATTTATTATTCATAATTATCGAACGAATTCTCAAGTAATCAGAAAGATAAATAAGAATTGAAATTGAAAACTCCCCGTTGTGAATATTTAACGCCTTAGAAGTTAATACAGAGATATACAGAGAATTGATACGTGCAACGTTTGGAGAGTAAACACGAAAGATGGTGTACAAAAATATATCAGTCGAGATTTATTTATTAAATTACGATTGAAATTTGTCTTTAGAAACAAAGCGAGACAATAGTGTTATCAGCTTGTTTGTTTTGATCTCTAGGATCAATTCTTCGTAATTCGTATTCCACGAATTTGTTTATAAGGATTTTTTTTAGAGAAGTTGTCATCCTCACGATAGGCTTATGATAAGCTAGAGCTCGGGTGCGCTAAACCCGTGCTGCAATCAAACAACGACTGCAGCCCCTGGGGGGGATTATTAACAGCCTGTACAATAATTGCAAAAAATTCACTCGTGACGAATCGTTAAATATTTACGAGAAGAATAAATATTCTAAGAACAAATAAAAAGGATCTATAGATCTATAGATCCCTATATCTTCGTGCCAATATTAACCAATTATCTATGATACCTATTCTCACTTTTCTTTCTCCAATTTCCTCCAAGATAATCCAGATCTCGTTAGACACAAGTCGATTCGAAACTTTTTCGCATCCTCTCCACTTGTGGCGCCACTTGTATCACCTGCACGAGACGTCGAAATTATTTCCAAGTTACGACAACTCTTACGATTGCTTCTCACGGAGAATCGAGAGAAAGAAATTGTTTCGTACCCTTTCCAGTTGTCGAACACCCGGCTACAAAAGGTTCCTTTTACGCGTTTGGAATTGTACGTCACGGCACGATACGATGAGTGACGACACGTACAAAAAGGGTTGGAAGGTTGTGCGATCGAAGTTCAAGAGTTGTCGATGGATTCATTAGGGTGTAAACTTTGGGAAGGAAGGGGCGAATGTTTGAACGTTTTGGTCACAAATTGAATCACACGAAATTTCGCGGTGGCAATCTTCTATTTGACTTGGAGCCACTACGTCTGATTTAACGAGGCCTTTGGATACGTCATTCGAGGAGGGAAATCCTTTTGTCTGCCTGTTTTTACGAATTTTTTGGAAATGACTGGACGAATTAATCTATTGGAATGCTTTATCATCGGATCACACGTTTTTCTTTTTTTTTAAACGTTTTAACGTCTCTCTATTTTCCATCGAGTTGCTTGAATTGAATGTTTGTTTAAATTGTATCGTTTGCTTCTGGGGATTTGGTGGAATCAAAGTATTTGTTTTTATTTGTCGATGCGTTTTTAGATTCATTAGAAGAGTGCTTTATGAGTTTAAATAATGATCTTGAGTTCGATTACGTTCAATCAATATTTCATTATGAAACAAATGATTAAAACAAATTAATATTCTCGATGGTTTTTATTTAAATCTATCTAGTAATTCAATTGTATTTTATTTAACAAATTTTATTTTTGGGAATTTAATGAATTTAAAGTAGTTTTATTCTTCAATTCTCTATTTTAAATATAAACTTGATAGCTTTGTATTTCATTTGTGATTTTTGAAAGGGTGATTTTGAATTTAGCAATCAGTATCATTCACTCAATATTTCACGGTAAAATAAATAATTAAAACAAGTGAATGATTATAAGATTATTGATTTCCATATAAATATATCGACAATTTTAATATTATATAAAATTTTCAAAATTTTGTCTAAATTTTCCTCTTCTATCACGATTTGGTTTTTAACCTAGTATATATACTTTTTCGCATCGTTAATTCTGCAAAATTATAAAGAAAACTATATTATTTCCACAATTTTTCATAAAAAGTATATTAATTAATAATTATAAGAGACTTACTTCAAAATAGCTCGATAAAACTTTCAATAACTTCTAAAAAAAACTCGAAACTTAAAAACTGGCCTCTATCAACATTTTCTATTTCCTCTTCTCTTTATACGTTGATTCACTTGAAGTATGAATTTCCAAAGGGAAATAGAGTTCGATAGAAAAACTTCTAAAAAATTACGAACCATCGCTCTATATGATATAACATCCCTTTATCAACACGAAAATTTTTTTCCCCCTCTCCATATACATAATTCATTTGAAATATGAATTTCCAAAAGGAGAGGAGCTCGTTAGAAATTCATTAAGACGATATTTGCGAAGAAATGAGGGTTGCCAGAGAGCGCAGTGGTCGTCGGTGTGCAAAACTGTTAATCCGGCTCCCCCCATCCCCAAAAAAGGATCGATTCTTTTTCTGCGACACGAACACATATACACACACACATACACACACGTGGATCGGCCGAGTAACGCATTGATCTCTGTCTAGGGAGGCTTTGTGTCTCGTGAACCCCGATTGGGTCAGCCCCGGGCAACCGGAGGTGTTATTTCCAAGTCCAGGGGGATTTCGGTGGGCTTGCCGGGATCGTTTGACATCGTGCAGTGGGGAAGCTGAGTATAATTAACGGCCGCATTCGTCTTGTTACGTGCTTTATCTTTAATTATCGAGCGATAAGATTCAATTGTACACGTCAATTCGTTGACGTTGTTGATCAATCCTGATTGTCATTACATTTCAACCTATTTGTTAAATATTATAGATGTCACACAGGATAACAATGTTGTGAATTAGTTCCATTTTTCTTCAATGTTATTTAATAATTTCGTTTCCTTGATTGTTGATAAGAATATTTAAGTTGCAGGTATTTCGATTATTTTTATACAGTTTCTTGTGTGATAATAAATATATTGAAGAAAAATTAGGTATCTCTTTGTTAAGAGAAGAGATAATATTGCAGTAATGGCGATGTTGTGAAATTGTCGCGAGATTTCTTATTTGGAAGATTTCGTTTATTACGATTAAATTATCAAAGTATTGAAAATATTGTTAGATACAATATTATCCAAATATTTGTAAATATTAAATGATATTATGCGCGAATTGCATATTAATCGTATAAATGATTTAATTATTTCAATTTCTTGCAACAAATAATTAGACTTCATCGTCCAAGAATCCACGGTACATACATTTCCATGATAAATTCGTGTATTTCCAATAACATGGAAATTTTTCCTCGATACGTAATTACAAATCGATAATATTAATCGTATATGTAAAATTTTAATGCATTATTTCAAAATTATGACAAACGGAATTATGCTTTGTGTATTCAAAGTGGAACGAAACGATAATTCCATGTTAAATACGATTAAATTTTACTTATTATTACTTATTATTATATCGTTGTACTTATTACAATTGCAAGTTTCTACATGGATATTTTGAAAACTGGGACTAAGTAAAATTATGCCATGTTCAAAATTTCAGATCAGAAGGAGAACAGAGGCGCCACGTCTCAACTTTGGAAACAGAAATGAGTTGAGAATCGACTACGATGTTGAGTCGTCTTTCGGCCGTGGTGGCCTCCATTTTGGTTCACCAGCTACACGTTTTGTGTGCCGCCACCTCATTAGGTAAGTAAATGCAAATTTCGAGCTGTTAACTGCTCTGCGCGGTTTAAACTCTTTTATTCAATTTCCTCACCTGTTTTTTTTTAATAATTTTTTTTCAAGCATGTACATCAGAAATATCAAGATTTTTGTACAAAGTAATTAATTTATTTTTGTACAAGATTCTATATATTCTTCTTTTTTTTTTTTTCGTTTTACATTACATGCTTCATTTTATCCTTGAATCGAAATATTTTTCATTTAATCCACTAAAACTGAACGTAAAATAATTTAATATTGGAACGCTTACGACAGCTGACAGAATCAGCTTTACATTTTGCTTAAACATCAGCATGTCAAAGCATATAAATTTATTAAAGCGGATGTAAAAGCAGATGTCCTTTTTTCTTTTTTAAGAAAAACTTGTAAAATAAAATTCAAAAATAAAAGTACGTGTTTTCATTAAATTAATTCAAACATTATTTCATATTTCTTATATGCATGAATTATTTTTAATTTGAATTACTTCCAATTATTTATTTGAAGATTTAAATTCTTTTCTTTACTTTTTTTTTACTTACTTACAAAGTATGCAGTTCAACTTTTTTTCTTTCTAAATATAATTTTATAACGATGCGATATCAAAATTTTAAATTATTTTTAGAAGAATTATCCAATTGTGAAGAAAATTCCCAGAAAGAATTGTATTCCTAGAAACGCACAAAAAAAAAAGAAATACAGAACAGTTATAATATTTTCCAGAATAACGTATAATATTTTTCGCGCGGTAAAAAGTAAAAAAAAAGAAAGGGATGAAAATTAATACCGGCTACTTTCGAGTCGCCATTTAAAGATCAATCGCCTTTCAGCGGCAGGTGACAATAATTTCGTTAAATTCCCGATTCGTCCCTCGGCGAACAATGTTGGCCAAGTCCGAGGGTTGTCCACCCTTCTGGAGACAGGAAATATCGGTTGTGAAAGTCGGATATCGGTGAGGGGATGATTATATTCGTTGAGTAACGGGTTGCGGGCCGAATGCTCGGCTCCCAGACATTGTCCTATAATTTTCCAATTAAGGCATTGGATTTCCATAAATCCTATGGCCACGGACAGGATCCATAAATTCGACGTCGTACCGAGGGACAAGTCACGTTCAATTCAATGCTGTTTTCCATTTCATGCTCTTACATTCTCAATGGTGTGATGATATAAAGTGTTTTCGAGTTGCGATTTCTTTCTACGGTAAAAAATAATTTGTTAGTCTATTTTACGTAAAATATATAAGGTAGAAAAAAGTATGAATTTAACGAAGAACGTACCATTAAAATTGAGCATTTCAGGATATAATTTGTAATATTTAATGTATTTATTATCATTGAAATTTGATGATGGATAATATATAAATTGTATCGAGGATTTATTTTAGATTTCGAGTAATTTTAATTGAGTTTTTTTGTTTGTTGAAAACACGTGATTTATTTGATTGCTATTGAATTTTTGGTAGATTGAATAGGATTGAAAATAGTGGGACGGCAATGGTAATTTGTTTCTCGTGCATGAAAGCAAAAAAACACTGCAGTTTCTTTTATAATTTATCAGAAAAAAAGGCGTATAAATTATATAAATTTTGTAAAAGCTTGTCTAAAGATAAACAATACATTACAAGTTTTGTTTCTTCATCGAGAAATTTGCATTTTTTAACATTGAATTTTCGAAAAGATTGTCTACTTTATAAAAGGAAATTCTCTTTTCCTTATACTTTTTTTTCATTATAAAATACATATTTTTAATAAATTTGTCGTATAATCGATCAAAAAAGAATTTTAAATTCAATTTCTAAAATATCCATGGAGTAAAATGAAATTCTTGTATAATATTTTATTTGAAATTTTAATTTTCCGCATTAAAAATTATTTTGCGCATTAATGTGTTTATTCAAAGTTTATTTAACCCATGCAAATGTTCTTATTCCAGTTATCAATGAAACAATTATTATCATCATACAATAGGCATGTTAAATTATTAAAATATTTGTACAATGTAATAATTTTTTATCTTTTTTATTTTTAAAAGAATAACATACCTAGTAACGATAAGATGGTTTAAACAAATTAAAAATATAATTATGCTTTCTTCTAAAATTATGAAATATTGATAGATATAGTTCAAATACGTACATGCATACATATATGGTATGTCCACTGAAATTATATCGAATACAATATAAACACATAATATTCAACCCAATAGTCCAAAAGTCCATTTTAATATTTGACCAACATCGACTAATATCTCGGTTTACCAACATTTCATTTTACACACACATTTGTCAATATTACATTCACAGACATTTATTAATACCCCATTTCATTCCGTCAATATTTACCAATATTTCTTTCCAACACGGATATTTGATATTCCATCGATTTTTAGATTGTATTAAATATATATTATTTACGTTTAATATACAGATAGGACACAATGTAAATTAGACAACAAGCGAATCAAACTTTCTTCTCTATCCTCCTCGTCACTTTATAAAATACAAACTCCTTGTCATCTCTGTAAATTAACAACTCGATAATATTATAATAATAATAATAATAATAATTATAATAATAATTGGACCACGTTCACTTATTATTAAATTCATTGTTCATCGTTCATTTAGTCCAAGATATTCCATCATATTCGAAAAGATTATCGGCTGGATTGCATTATCGAAGCAATTTAAAACGTTCAAGTTGGCCTCAAGTTGATGTGTTCGCAAACAATTTCCTTTGTATCGCTCGATGCGGACCCCGTCCAGTAATCCCGTGGACGACATTCCCTGGACGTATTCGAAATCCTGACCGGTAACCGGGTTTATCCTTTCGGGAAGATTATGTGCTCCGTCTTTCCAGCAGATATTAGAAGTCTTTTCGTTCCTTCTCCCCGGGAGTGGCGGTGAATTCACCTTCCGAGATTGGTCCTGCCAGAAAAGATCCTCTCCTCTCCTCACCTCTCTCTCGGTTCGAGCTGATAAATTTCTCCAGGATTATCCCGTCGTTCTTCGAAAAATCGTTAGAAACGCGGCGGCGAGGAAACGAAGCGTCCGGTGGAATCGAGAATTTAAAGGGAAGTTATCTGAATCTTGTAAAAGAGGGTTGAAAATTGGGAGAAAATGAGATACGGTTGGACCTTTTTTGGGGGGGGAGAGGACCAAGATGATCCTGGTAATCGAGAATTCCTAGGTTTATAATTTCTATTGCTCGTCGAACGAGGAAGAGAGTTTTGATTGAACATGGATAGATAGAAGATTGAAGATTCTAATAAATCCGTTTTGTCTAAAATATATCTATAGGATGCTTTTAATTGATTCTAGAGTCTGAAACAAATATAAAAGTTAATACAAGTATAAAAATGTCGTTCGAGGTTTATTTATTATTAGTTAGCTTATTGGTCGTAAGCAATGGAAATTCGTTTTGACGACAGAGGGAGACACCAGTATGATTAGCTGATAGAGCTGTCTCACTTTATCTCCGTCTCTCTCTGTCTTCTCCTCTCCTCGCCTCATCCAATGAACATATTTACAACTTAATAAATAAACCTCGATATTTTTGTACACAAACAAACTTACAAACTTCTGTGTTTATTATCAGTCTCTCTAAACTCTTCCACGATTGTATTAATATCTTAATATCTACACATGCAAACGAGAATACGAGTCTTGTGCAAACTTTCTATCCAAGATAAGAGACTAACGATTTTTCTAGGCTCAGGGAAATAGAGGAAGCATTTTGCAGAATTAAAATTAAATTCAGAACAAATTGTCAAAAAGTCTAGATCTGTCCAAAGGGAACGAGCTATTAAAATTATGACAAGCGAGGGATTACTTTTTTTTTTTTCTCTCTCGTAGTTCTCATCGAGTTACGCGCCATTGAGAAGCCGGAAAAAGTAATAAAGCCTGTTCGTGTTAGCCTTCTCCTTTTGAGTTGAAACCGGAGAAACTGAACAATCTCGTAGGTTATAAAGGGCCGCGATGGCGGGCGGGAGAGGCACGGCCCAACCGTGGGAAATAAAGTAAGGAAAGTGGAATTCGAAAGACCGCAAGGGAACGCAATATCTTTCCATCGAATTCGGTTGAAACGGCGACGAGCCGTTCTTCCGGAAGAACTTGGAACACGAATACCGGTCCCTTTCATTTCCTCCACGGGGAGGAAGACCGATTTAACGCCCTGAGATTATCTTCCTGAACGAACTTTTAACTGGCGTACAATGAGATTATAGCGGAATTTCGATTAGCTCGAGTTTTAATTTTTTTAATTTCCTATAAAGATCATAGAGTTAGTTCGTTATTCTTCTTTTATTGTAACAGGGTATGCTTCCAATTTAAACATTCATTGATCTTAACAAGTTTCAAGAATAATTCAGGAAGTGATACGTACGATTTGTTTCTCTTCATAATTTTTTAGCATTTCCAAGGGAAAAAAATGATAATTTTCTATCGTCTACAAATTTCAGTGTTAAAAAGTTAACTTTTTTTGATAAAAATTCAAGATCATTTTAATTTCGATTCGAGAAATATGGGGTCAATGAACGCGAACTAATTTTCCTGAAAATTCATTTTATTCAAATTTTTTACGAGGACACATTTTTTCTCGATTATTCTAGCGTAAAAAAAAAAAAAAAAAAAAAAAAAAAATAGCAAAAATATCGAACCAAAGTATCAAATCTCGCGTACCTCAAAATCACAATATTATTACCCCGCGTATGAAAAATGTTTTTATCCGTTCAATAAAAATTTTATCCTCGAGTTATCATAGATTATCAATGGTGTGCAAAAAAAATATCGTATTTTTATTTGTTTTATATATATTGTTAAAATGATTGGAAGTTTTAACGGCTTAACGGCAGAGCAACAATATAGCATAGGTAGCAGGTTGGAAGTTTTCAATGTTGCTCGAAGTTTTTCGATTTTTAGAGGCAACGTTTTTTCCTTTAACGATTTTCGCGTAAAGTTTATGGTACAAAGTGTTTTGTAT